GTGTAGGAGGGAAAGTTTCTCTGGTGAAAACCCAGGAGGAGAGAGAGAAGATGCTAGAGGCGGTCAAGAGCCACCACTCACACCTCGACGAACCAGGTTAGTGCTGTTTTTGAGTTACCTCTGCAGACTCCAGCTGGCTTATTTTGGGGCGAGCGTTCCATGACTCCTGAGAGGCGCAACTGCCCCATAGCCTACTATACTGTTAAAATGACTTGACTTGTCACCCTTATAAATTATTTGAGAATCAATGATTTTTAATTTATTTTGAGCATGTGTACTCTGGGCCATAATATGTTGGTCTGTAATGGGTGACATAGATAGTCTGGGCTTTTGATACTGAGGTACTGAAATACGAATCGAGAGTCTATCGGGCGAAATTCTGATAAGTCAGAATATACGGTGCAATAGTGTGATTTGTTTCATTAGACATAATATTATATCGGGCTACACAAGAAAAATCTAATAACTTGGTTTTTAACAGAGTGATATACTAATAGGTTAGGCTACACCCGAATTTGTGCTGATAATTGGGCTCTACACGATTATACTCGTATATTAAATAAACTACATTAGACTGTAAAGTGGTGTGGTGAATAAGACATACGTCCAATGTCTAGGTACATTTATTGCTGAGATATGTTGCGTCTGCAGGAGGCTACGTCTTCAGTTGAATACACAGGAGTCTAATTTATTAGGAGACAGCTGAAGAAGTGGAAATTTTAAGGTGTTCCCTCCATCAGTCTTGAAAGCTACAGTTGAAGCTGAGAATTCATCTGTACGTGGTTAGTCCTTCAGCCAAGATGGAAGGTTTTCATTTCTGCAGCTTTGATCAGTCGCCTCTGTATTCGCCAGATCAAACCTGCTGTCGGAATTGTTCATCTTTAATAATATACAGTACATTCGAGAATATGTTAAGCTAAATTAGATTATCTGATATGCTTTCCTCTACTCGATAACATAGGAAATGATGTACAAGGAAACGGGTTTAAATGAGTGATTTTCCAGGGCAACTGGTGTGAACTGCTTGCTGGATAAACATTGTTAAGATATTGCTGTACCGTTTATCAACAGAAGAGTAAGAAGCGTGCAACAGATAGATATCTTTATTCCGAAACGTTTCACCTGCATAGAAGTCGAAAACATTGTGTATAAAGATGGTGTGATCAGTCCATCAATCTTGAAGAGGTAATATTGAAGTAATCAGTCCCTTAGCTTGGAGAGGTGTTCAGCTTCAGAGTCTTGATCTGTGTTCAGAGTTCAGGCTTACTGAACATAAATTGAATGGTAATTACTTTCCATAAATTTTTTAATAGGAATTACATTAATCATCTTCGATATCTCCAATACTACATCAGTTTGAAGTGATATACTATGAAAGTATCGATAGTAGTTCACTAAGTACCATCTTGAACTCTTTAAGAACTACTGAAAAAAAAACTTCAGGACCTGGGGACTTATTTTTGCCTCAGTTGGCCAACCTGTTTAATAACCGTTTCCCTAGTGATTGAGAAATTATAAGAACATAAGAACATAAGAAAGGAGGAACACTGCAGGAGGCCTGCTGGCCCATAATTTATTTTCCTCAGATCTACTGCAATGTAATATGCTGCGATTCCCTGAAATGATCCTGAGTACCTTCCACCCCTTCCCCCTCACATGAGCTGTATAATCCTACGGATTTAGCGCTCCCCCACGATAATAATAGTAATAATACTCCAATATAGAAACTAATTTATCACACTAACTAGTTTATCACACAATTAAATATTTGCACTGAAAATGTGGAGAGACTCACGAGAGATATTTGCAAATTATAACCTGGATAATAATACCCAATTTCTTTAATAAAAAGGGAAAATTAGAACATATGCAGCTGTAAACTGATTTAAACCTTCCACTAAAAAATAGGAGCTTTGAAGGCAGCCTGAAGAGGCAGTGTTTTCTCACCTCAGTGACCAATATCCTTAAGTACACTAATACATTAAATTTGAAGATCCGCGCAATTTACAGGATCAAGTTATCAGATGACGCACTTTGTATTGCATGAAAATCATTTAAATTTTCTTATTTTTTCATGAATAAAATGGAAATTGATGCCTATACAGGCCGAAATCATATTTTTTTTTGTTTTACAATAGTGTCGAGAGCACACAAATATATGTGCATATAAATGTACATTATGTAGATTTAACCTAAGATAAATCGGTAAAGTAAACCACTGCGTCATATTTCTCATAAGAGCCATTCTCCAGTTAATTAAAAATAACCAAAATTATAAACAAAAGTGGCACATTTAAAACTTTCTCAACATAAAGTCAAAGTCAAACTTTCTTTGAGGGAAACTCACAACCGATAAAATTGTAAAGTTTATCAGAAGAAACAGTCTCCGTCAAAATTTGCACATACACAACCTAAAGCCCAGAATCTTATCCATCTCATTAGATGATTCTGCAATTAAAGATTCATGGCACTCAAGCCGCTTTATTTTAACAAGAAACCTCTTCAAGGGGGGCTCCTTGACGTGGCCTCTCCGAGAGACAACTACGAAGGTTGTAACATCAGAGGCACAACCACATAGGTTGTAGCCCCAGAGGTACAACCACGTAGGTTGTAGCCCCAGAGGTACAACCACGTAGGTTGTAGCCCCAGAGGTACAACCACGTAGGTTGTAGCCCCAGAGGTACAACCACGTAGGTTGTACTGGTTGTGGAGGGGAGATGTGAGACTTCATATTTAAGTTAATTTCTGGAATGGTTTTATTTGTCGCAGGACTGTCCAATGATCACCGTTATTGATGTGTTTTAATCATTAGTTTGTGGGAAGTCGTGAAGTACTTGGACATTAGTGTAGGAAGTAGTTAGGTATTGGGGCATAAGTGAGTGGCAACTCGTTAAGTGTTGGTGCATTAGTTTGTGGGGAGTAACTAAAGAATATTTCTAATTGCTAGTAGCTGGAGAATCATTAATTGCTGGTGGATGGAGAACGTGTCTGGTTGCTGGTAACTGAGAAGCTGCCTGGTTGCTGGAAGCTGGAAGTGTTTGATTGCTAGTAGCTGGAGAATCTGTGAGTTTGCTGGTAGGTAAAGAAGCTCTTTAGTTCTTAGCAGCTGGAGAAGGTGTCTGGTTACTGACTGCTGTTCGGCTGGTGACAGCTAGAGGAGTCAGCTTGCTGGAGAAGCTCTGTGGCTGCTGGCAACTGGAACAGCTGTCTGGTAGGAGATCAAAGGCGAGAATGACTAAGAATGCTGCTGATGTCCCGCTGACAAGCAAAAACACTGGTTCAAGTATTGATGAGGAATGCAAGATCTCAACTCTCTGGATTTTTAACAATGGTTATAAATGACCATAATTTTTAAAGGGGTGGACCGGTAAGCCAGCGGAAGGCCTCGGTCAGATGACCAAAATCTCCAAAGGCGGGTCATCATCTGACTAAGACCCACGTCAGGAAACATTTGTCCTGTTTCCTGACGAACCTTACCTAACCTAACCTCAACTCTCTGGATAACCAAAAAAAGCGAGCGCAAGGATGACTAAATATTAGTAAATCATGTCACGGTAATGGGATGAAGAGGGATCATGCTGTTTTATTCCTGGCAGCTGATGGGCAGGAAATATTGTTCAAAGCTATGTTTGACTATGTAACAAATGTGATTGCTTGTCATTCCCCAGGCGTTGTTTGATGCTAATGGTAATATTTTCGGCTACATATACAAACTCGCGTCTTCCTTGTCGGAGTTTATAGGTTCGAACCTGAAGCGTTAACACTAATAAAAATAATAAAGGCTTATCATTTCCCCGTGAATAAAATAACAGCAACCAGAAAAATAATAGCTACAACACATACAACAGAAATAACAAAAACCACGGCATCAACGATATCAAGAACATCAACACCAACCAAAATAATAAAGTTCATAATAATAATAATAATAATAATAATAATAATAATAATAATAATGTTGCACTTTGGAAGCCTATGAAATATTTATCCAGGACAAGTTTAGTCAGGAAACTAATACATTATCCTTTTTAACGGTTTTCAATTATTTTTTCGAAACATGACCGAGTCTGTTTTGAATTTGTAACAGTTCAAGGCTCTAAATTACATTTCCGGTATAAATCTGTTCAGGGCAAATTTATTTTTTTATGATTTTACAACGTCATTTTCAACTTTATCGGATGGTCATTGGTGTCTTTTTTCAGGTGTTTAGAATTTCGTTTTGTTCTTTGATGATCTAGTCAGTGATATTTTGAGTTGGAGCTTTAAGGAAATCCTGGGCATTTTAGCACGTTCCGAAAATAATTAGGATTTAAATGACTGCTGACAATTTATTCTGGTTGGGCTTTGTACTTTTCTTCAAAAGCTACTTAGAATTTTAGGACTATTCAAAGTTATGTACAGCTTCGTTGTTCAGTCTACATGAACAATTCTTAGCCAGTACATCTCCCTGATAAAATTTATTCTGGAAAAAAGACTGGTAGAAAAAAAAAAACTAGGCAACCAGTGTCTTCATTTCAACTTGTCTTATGATTTTCTGTACCAATATTTTGTTCCTTATATCTACGTTGATTATTTGTTAATGTACACTCATTTTTAAGGTAGTTACGAACACTTACGAATTACGCAGCCTGTACATGTCATCACGATGAGTTCGGAAGACAAACTTGCGAGGATATGATTATGCTTCGCACACTCCCTTAAACTTGATAAAATTAACACAATTTCACTGATGATTCAGGCACTCTACTTCTAAATTACCAGCCCCATCATGATAACACTGTACCGGTCCGTTATGACAGCTACTGTGACACCGCAATACTGATGTGAACCAGATCGGCATGATAACCACTCTGATACTGTAACAGTGTGTGTACCAGCTCGGCTCGGTAACCACTCTAGTGCTGAAACACTGTGTACCTGTGTGATCCCCCACTAAGCTCTGTCCGCCTCCTCTCAGTCGCCACTAAGCTGCTTTAACTAAAATGAAATTCCTTGAAAGCAGTATTTCGCTCAGCTTATCCAATGTTAGGTATATTAAACCCGCGTAGGCCAACGGAAGCTTCTTGTACCGCCTACACAACGTACGGAAGACTATA